GAGATCTGGCCACTGCACTCCAGCCTGGGCTACACAGCGAGACTCTGTCTCAAAAAAAACAAAAACAAAAAAACAAAACAAAAAAAGGACAAAATCATAACCTTTGCAGCCCAACCTGAATGCAGCTGGAGGCCCTTATCCTAAGTGAATTAATGCAGGACCAGAAAACCAAATACCGCATGTTCTCACTTATTCGTTTATTTTCTTTTTCTTTGAGACGGGGTCTTGCTCTGTTGCCCAGGCTGGAATGCAGTGGTGCGATCTATGCTCACTGCAACCTTGCAACCTCTGCCTCCTAGGTTCAAGCGATTCTCCTGCCTCAGCCTTCCGCATAGCTGGGATTACAGGTGCCCGCTACCACACTCAGCTAATTTTTGTATTTTTAGTAGAGAAGGGGTTTCACCATGTTGGCCAGGATGGTCTGGAGCTCCTGACCTCAGGTAATCTTCCCACCTTGGCCTCCCAAAGTGCTGGGATTACAGGAGTGAGCCACCACGCCTGGCCCACCATGCCTGTTCTCACTTATAAATGGAAACTGAATAAACATTGGATACTCATGGACTTGAATAAGGGAACTGGGAACTACTAGAGGGGGGAGAGAGGGAGGAGGACACTGGTTGAAAAACTACCTACTGGGTACTCTGCTCACTACCTGGGCTAATGGATCCATTTGTACCCCAGACCTCAGCATCATGTAATGTACCCATTAACAAACCTGCATTTACCTCCTGAATCTAAAATAAAAGTCAAAGGTGAAAAAAAGTTGGTTGAGATATCACCTTAGAAAGGCCTTACCTGAATATTCTGTTAAAAAAAAAGAACAACAAAAAAAAAAGAACCTTTCCTCCATCTCTTCACCCTCATTAATTTTTCCTTATAGCACTTATCAGGTTATAATAATATACACTGATATATTTAATTATTTATTTTTGAGACAGAATTCCACTCTGTTGCCCAGGCTGGAGTGCAGTGGTGCGATCTTGGCTCACTGCAACCTCCGCCTCCTAACTTCAAGTGATTCTCCTGCCTCAGCCTCCTGAGTAGCTGGGATTACAGGCGTGTGCCATCATGCCCAGCTGATTTTTTGGTAATTTTAGTAGAAACGGGATTTTGCCATGTTGACTAGGCTGGTCTAGAACTCCTGACCTCAGGTGATCCACCCACCTTGGCCTCCCAAAGTGTTGGGATTACAGATGTGAGCCACCACACCTGGCCTGACATTATTTATTGATTTCCCTGTTCATTGTCTCCCATCCTCACTTAATAAGTTCCTCCAGAGTAGAGAGATTTGTCTTGTTTACACCTGTGCCTCACTCCCTGGCACACAGTAGGAAATGTATATCCATATACACATACCTGTGTACGTAAATACATAATATATAGATACAAGGTACATAATATATAGATACAGTATTATATACCATAATATATAGATACCATAATATATAGATACCATTATGTATAATACTATATACATAATATATAGATACCAGATACCAGCATAATATATAGATACAGTATGTTTTGTCTGTGCACACACAGGCACACACAGACACAAACAGACACACACATACATATGGAATGAGTTAAATTACGCCAAGAGGAGGCAGAGAAGGGTGAAAATAGAGTGGAAGATGAGATAATGAATATTTAAAAGCAAGTGCTTCTCAAGGCCCTACTGCGTGCCAGGCACTCTTCTAGGACACAGGTATGAGGGGGAGAGATGAGGTTACCTGCCCTCAGGCTCCAGGATTGCAGTAGTTTATTATCCAGCCTGTATTGTGCCTGTGAATGCACATGGCTCAGCAGTTAGTAGGTGCTCAAGAAACAGTTCTGGGGTACATGAATGGGAAAAAACATTATGCCATTGTGGTGCATTTTAAAAATGCTTTATCTTTTTTTATTCTGAGATGGAGTCTCGCTCTGTCACCCAGGCTGGAGGGCAATGGCACGATCTTGGCTCACTGCAACCTCCGCCCCCCGGGTTCAAGCAATTCTCCTGCCTCAGCCTCCCAAGTAGCTGGGATTACAGGAGTCTGCCAGCACACCTGGCTAATTTTTTTTTTTTTTCTTTGAGCCGGTGTTTCGCTCTGTCACCCAAGCTGCAGTGCAGTGGTGCGATCTCGGCTCACTGCAACCTCCGCCACCCAGGTTCAAGCAATTATCCTGCCTTGGCCTCCTGAGTAGCTGGGATTACAGGCACAGGCCATCACGCCTGGCTAATTTTTGTAGTTTTAGTAGAGAGGGGGTTTTGCCATGTAGGTCAGGCTGGTCTTGAACTCCTGACCTCGTGATTCACCCGCCTCGGCCTCCCAAAGTGCCGGGATTACAGGCATGAGCCACCGCGCCTGGCCTAATTTTTGTGTTTTTAGTAGAAATGGGGTTTTGTCATGTTGGCCAGGCTGGTCTGGAATTCCTGACCTCAAGTGATCCACCTGCCTCGACTTCCCAAAGTGCTGGGATTACAGGCATGAGCCACCTTGCCTGACCTAAAATGCTTTATCTTATCAGGTAACCCCCTTCCTTTGGATAATGGTCAGGAGAAATCTTTTTATCTAAGGTAAAGGAGTGACGTTTAATGAATAAATGGGTCTTAGCACAATGGAACATCAGAAGATGGGCAAGGAAAAGGTAGAGTGGCCCACAGCCCCTGCCCACCACCTCTGCCAGGTGTTACCCTTTGTTCAGTCTTACCAGCAACCGTGTATACAGCGGTGATGGCCAGCAGCCCAACTATGGCCAGGTACAGATCCAGGTGCAAAGACTGCTGGATGAAGATGGCACCTGCATACATGTCTACCTGTGGAGAAAGGAGGTTGATGGATGAACAAATGAATTAATGAGCAAATGAACGAATGAATGAATGGACATTTGCAGCCCAGGTTCCCTGGGATCAGGGCCTAGCCTAGATGCTGACAAACACAGAAGAGTCACACATCATCCCTTCTTCATCCATTGCATCCCAGATCAGGGGTCTTAAACTGGAGCCCTGCAGGCCCTGGGCTGATGCAGCAGTCTCCTCAGTCGTCTTTCTGCTTCTGCTTTTGGTCCTCTCCCACTCCATCTTCCACACGGCAACCTTCATTAAATACCATCATGATCACATCATCCTTCTCCTCCCCACTCAAACTCTTAAGTAACTCCCCCATTGCCCCCAGGATAAAGGCTAAATAAATGAGGCTAAATATCCACTTCATACTCCCAGACCTCCGCAGACTCTGAAATACCGTCTGTTTCTCAGTAAGTCGTGTGTGCCTGGGCCTCCTAGATTTCGCTTGTGCTGGTGCATCCGTCTGGAGGGCCAGTCCCCTTTCTCTAACTGTAAGTTCCTCCTGGAATGTCACTTCCCCTAGAAGGCTTCCCACATCTGTAGCTTCCCACCAGACTGCAAGTGAACATTCTAGGAAGGAGCCTGTGTGTCTGTCCTGCAGTCTGGAGCTGGCGTAGATTCACTTATTGTTATTTGGATTGAATGGAACCTCTTCTGCTCCCCCTTCACCACTTCCCATAGGACAAGCTCCTCCCTCCTCCCTGGCTGGAAGCGAAGACAGCTTCAGCTGAGGGGCACGTGTCTGGAGGTTGCGATACACCTGTTCTTTGCCACTTCCTAGGAGATCTGCCTATCCAAAGGTCAGGGTGCGGCAGGCACAATCAGCCATCAGCACATCTGATAAACAGTTGATCACTATCTAATTCCAGGAGGAAGAGAACAGTCCTATCCAAGGGTTGACAGGGTTCTTGGAGTCCCACTGATCAACCCACACCATCCTGAGATGTTGACAAAAAAGTTTTGGCAGGAGTAGGAGAGAAAGTCCTTCCCTCCTTTCCTCTACCTTTTCTCCGAATTTCTTCTTCTTCTTCTTCTTCTTCTTTTTTTTTTTTTGACACAGAGTCTCGCTCTGTCACCCAGGCTGGAGTGCAGTGGTGTGGTCTCGGCTCACTGCAACCTCCGCCTCCCCGGCTCAAGCAATTCTCCTGCCTCAGCCTCCCGAATAGCTGGGACTACAGGCATGAGCCACCACGCCCGGCTAATTTTCATATTTTTTGGTAGAGATGGGGTCTCGCCATGTTGGCCAGACTGGCCTCAAACTCCTGACCTTAAGTGATACACCCGCCTCAGCCTCCCAAAGTGCTGAGATGACAGGCGTGAGCCACTGCACCCGACCGTTTTCTCCCACTTTCCTCTGTCCACGCTTACCTCCCCACATCCCATCTTCCTCTAACCTCCCTGCAGCCTACAAAAGAGGAGGAGAAAGGGGATAGGGAGGAGACACTCCCGCGCAGAGATCTGTGCCTTATCTTCTCCCCATGCTGCATGGGTGTGGCCAGGCTCTGTCCCCACCTTACCGAGATCTTGGTGAAGATGTAGATAAATAGGTAGAGTACAGCCAGGATGACGGGAATTCTGACACCACCGAAGCGCTTCCGTAGGTATTCCGGCATCGTGGTGACCTGAGGGCCAGAGCTGAGATTTCACCACCAGCTGACTTCACCACCAGCACGTGACCTCCCCCACCCCAGCCCTTCCCATCTGCTCCTGCCCCTGCAACTCAGAGCACAGATGGTTGAGATTCTCAATCTGATACTTAAGAAGGGAGGAGAGGGGCCCAGCGCAGCTGGTTCCCATCACTTTGGGAAACTAAGGCAAGAGGATCGCTTGAGTGCAGGAGTTTGAGACCAGCCTGGGCAACACGGTGAAACCTCATTTCTACAAAAAATATAAATTTAGTCATGTGTGGTGGCAGGTGCCTGTAGTCCCAGCTACTCAGGTGGCTGAGGTGGAAGGATCGCTTGAGCCTGAGCCCAGGAGGTCGAGGGTGCAGTGAGCCGTGATCATGCCATTGCACTCTAGCCTAAGTGACAGGGAGACCCTGCCTCAAAAAATATACATATGTTAGACAAAAATAAAGTCTAGGTGGATAATAGATTTAATTGTGAGGCTGTGCACGATGGCTCACACCTGTAATCCAGCACTTTCGGAGGCCAAGGTGGGAGGATCACTCGAGCCCAGGAGTTCAACACCGGCCTGGGCAACATCTCTATTGCTACAGTAAGACCCCATCTCTATTATTTTTTTAAAGACATATAACCTAGTAGAAAAATGGGCAAAAGTCCTAGACAAGTTACTTCCTCAAAGAGGAACTCCAAATGGCCGGAAAATGTATAAAAAGAGTTGCCAATTAAAAACAGTGAGATGGCCGGGTGTGGTGGCTCATGCCTGTAATCCCAGCACTTTGGGAGGCGAGGTGGGAGGATCATCTGAGGTCAGGAGTTCGAGACCAGCCTGGCCAACTTGGCAAAACCCCGTCTCTACTAAAAATACAAAAATTAGCTGGGCTTGGTGGCTGTAGTCCCAGCTACTGGGGCAGTGTGTGTGTGGCAGTGGACGGGGCGAGGCAGGAGAATCAAGAATCACTTGAACCCAGGTAGGCAGAGGTTGCAGTGAGCTAAGGGCATGCCACTGTACTCCAGCCTGGGTGACAGAGCGAGACTCTGTCTCAAAAATTTCAAAAAGCAGTGAGATATCACTACACATGCACCAAATTCACAAGAATCTTTAAGTTGGAGAATATAAAATGTCACCAAAGATACAGTGAATTTCAGGAAAGGGAATTTTCATATGCTGTTGGTGGGAATATGAATGGATAGAACTACTCCGGGAAAATGTTTGTCAATATATTGTAAAGCCAAAGATGAACATATCCAAGGACCTAGAAATTCCACTCATAGGTAGATTTTCTCATCAGTACATGTTTATGTGCAGAAGAACACATTTATAAAAATGCTCACAGCAGTGTTGTCTGTCATAGACCAATACTGGGAGCAACTTGAATGCCCATGAACAACAGAATAGATAAACATATTGGGATGTGAGTCATACTACACGATACCGCATAGCAATGAAAATTAAGACACTAGCTACATGTAACAAAAGAATATTACTCCAAGCTGGGTGCAGTGGCTCACACCTGTAATCCCAACACTTTGGGAGGCTGAGCCGAGTGGATCACCTGAGTTCCAGACCAGCCTGGCCAACATGGGGAAACCCCTTCTCTACTAAAAATACAAAAATTAGTCAGGCGTGGTGGTGGCCGCCTGTAATCCCAGTTACTTGGGAGGTTGAGGCAGAATTGCTTGAACCCAAGAGGCAGATGTTGCGGTGAGCTGAGATCACGTCACTGCGCTCCAGCCTGGGCAGCAGAGCGAGACTCTGCCTCAAAATAAAAGAAAAAAATTACTCCAGTTTTCAATTATCTATAACCCACCCTTCACCAAAAAAAGTAAAATTCAACTATACTGTTCAGGTATGCAGAATTAAAACTGTAAAGAAAAGCAAGGAGGGGCCGTGCGCGGTGGCTCAAGCCTGTAATCCCAGC